CATATTATAATACAATGAGCCAACAGTGTTTAAATCAAATATTAAATAAATTGTATTTATAGTCAACTTTAGAAAATTAAAATAAAATATTATTGTTATCCAACTAATTCCACATGAATTCTCATATTTTATCCTCATCAACTTTTTACGATTTCCCATTTATGCAATGCCATATAACTTTTAAAATATGATAATGTGCCATGCTTTCCCCGAAGTACATAAAATCAATGATGTTCGTCGTCATAAGAACGAGGGGTGTCTGTTTGCCGGCGCCAGTAAGCCTTGTCCGGGATAATGTGTAACTTCTCTCTTGCACCATCTCCCCGTACAACTGACATCCGGACCACAGTAGGACCCTACATGTTATAAATATCTGTGTATGTAATAAATCTTCATATCCGTTTATCGATGACTTGGAATTCTCGATTTGGCCAGAACTTCAATTTCTAGGGGGCCAGAAAACTACATAACAAGAAAAAAGTACTTATGGAACTCTAAAAGAACTAATAGTCATCAGAATGTACTGTAAAAAAAAATAAAGAAATCATTTAGAAATTGATGAAAAAAAGTTTTATTGATAGTTAGAATAAAAAATCTCAAGAAAAATGGCTTACTATTAATTTAAAAGCAAAAATTCGTGTAAATAGGTACTCAAAACTAAAACATCATTTATCAAATAATTTAAAAAAAACAAAAAAACGTTCAATTAAATTACAAATCAATATGATATAGTTATTAAATTGTGCAACTTTAGGATTTAGACTAAAATAAAAAATGTTAATAAAACTTTTTAGGTAAAGGCGAAATTTTTGTCGTGCCAGAACTATGATCTGACCTAATACTAACAGGTTATCGATCTCAGAAATCATATAGATAGGGCACATAAAAATATATTATACAAGCAAATTGTATTTAAAAAAACACTAAAATGACATTTTTGTGGCTATTTTCCCCAAATGTAGAGATAGAAACGATAAATATATGTTTTTATCACCATTTACAATAATAATACATGATAAGAGATGCATAATAGACTATTCTACCATATGTAATTATTGATAAAGATATTGATTATAAAAATAAGAATATATTTTTAGTATATTTTGTTAAAATCAATAAATTAAAATTATTTTTAGCTATTTTTATTTCTATTTTATAAATTAATTAATATTTATTTCAATATAATGTTCTATGTTTGATTGTGGAAAGATTCACACTATGTTTTCATCAAAGATACGCATATTTATAGAAATACCTAAATAAGAAGAGCAGTGGCCAATTTCTACAGGCCGTATTATCGTTGCAGCGATATGCCGCGAATAGGCTGTGTTATTTAATAATTATCGGTATATTTTTTTGAAATTTGATATAAAGCTTGATTATATTATAGCATTATGATTATATAATACAAGAAAAAATTACTAATAACTAATTATATCAAATAATAATAAAAAAACAAAATCTAGAGTATTAATTGTATAAATATAAGTAAGTTCTTCTATAATATTAAAAAATATATAAATATATATAGTTAATATTTTTTAACTGGGAAAGATAGCGGATTTTTAATAGTTAAGTCTACCCTAATAGAAATGTCTAATTTTTCCTATGTTTATACAATGTATCTGAATTCTCAAATAATCTTAGAGTAATAATAATAAAAATTACAGTTAAATTATTTAAATCAATGCAATTTTAATATTTGAATATTAAAAATATCTAATTAGTTTCCTTGAAAGTTGTTCCAATAGAAATTTAAAAATAGCTATCAAAAATACAAACGTATCAATGATAACTTTGTTTAAAGACATATTTTGAATTTCAAATATTGACAAAATTATATGTTGTAACAAATAAAATTAGGTAATCGTTCTATTATAGGTATAATGGATATTAACTATCAAGTGTACTTTAATTTTGAATAAGTCACTTTTATACGTTTATATTACGACAGGACATAAAATGACATAAAAAAATCAAAGTATTTTAAAATATTGTCTTTAAGAATATTTTAACATTCTATAAACCATAAATTAAATACATGAATTATTAAATAATTAAAGGGGAATGAGCGTGCTTGAAAAACTACTCCAAATATCTTACATATAGAAAAATAAAGAATATAATACAATAAAATAAATGATAAATAAAAACATCTTGAGATTGTAGGAAAAAACAAGTTACCTACTTATTTTAAAAACTTATTTTCACTACATTGATTTTTCTACTCTCTTATATCAGCAGTAAACCTCTACTACATTGGCACTTAGGGTAGCTATAGAGTACTAATTTAGCACTTTGTTTTTACTTGGTAAATTGGTTGCTCAACTATTTCATAAAGTAATTTATGAATCATACTAGTGTATAATTAGATCATTTTTAAATGTAATTATAAAATACATATTTTTATATAACAAAAAAAATTGTTATATTTTTATTTAAAAATTATGTATTACTTTATAAATTCTATTCATGTAATACGAAAATCTAAAATGTAAATCGACAATTTCTCTATAATTTGACAGTTCACGTTCAATGAGTGCTTAAGTGTATGAATCACGTAATGATTCCCCTTTTGGCAAAAGTTTTTGGGGTTTCGCTTGTTGAACGCACTACGTGATTTCCAAGTCAAAATAATGCTAACCCTTCATATAGTCGGTTTAATGTTACGTCTAATTAAACCGTCAACTGTCCGTTACATAATAATATCTGAGACTTATTGCCCGTTAAACTTTTTTTTGCACCTCTAAAGAATAAAAATGCTTAATTGTAATGTTTTTCGAAAATGAAAAAGTACTCTTTATACGAACAATAGATAGTGTTCCAAACATTTATAAAAATAATTTTACTTACCGAATGTCGAGTTAACGATTGCCAACAAAACTCAAGTTCACCAATAGTCGCAGGAACTGGTACTTCAAAATTCATTGCATATGTATTCACAACCCCATCACGAACATAATAGAGTTCAGATGATAAACCTGGGTAAAAAATAGTAGTTATACGTAAAATTACTAATAAACTTATATTTTTTTTTACAAAATATTTATGAAACAGCTATGAATTTAAATATATGAAATAAATTAAGTATTTACTTATTTATTTTACTTTATATTTTATCATGATTTAAAAATAATTACAATTTTATAATTAATAATAAATATCATTGTAAAATAACTTGATAATATTTGTTGTTTTACTCTAATTAACTAAGATAAAATAATATTATTTTCATAAAGTGTAATATGATTAGCTATACATTATATTATGCATCCGTATTATTACAGTGACAACATATGACAAATAATTAGTCTATGCAGAATAAATATTAAAATATCATATTTTGTAGTTAATTTCTCATCATATAATGTGTTATTAATATATTAATGTACTTAGTTATTTTTTTTAATTCAATCAAAAACTAAAATTTTACATTAATCAAGTTTTTACACACAAAACATATAACTATAAACCAGTATTTAAACAATAAAAATAAAAATACAATTTAATAACAAAGGTTAAATCAAGAATCGTAATTTTAGATCTAAACATACTGAGAACAGCTATTGGTTTTAGATAACAAATGTTACATTATTTTGAGAAAAAAATAGAGAGAAAGAGAGAGAGAGGTTTAATTTCTCTAGAAGTTTCACATGACTTAATTTAAACAAAAAAGTAATTTCACATCGGTGAAATCAACATCACGAATTCTCAAATTCACTTATTAATAATAAATAAAATGGCAAAAATATTAGTTACATTATTTATTTATGAGTCATTATACTTCAAATAATTTTTATTTCATTCATTAAACTTAAAATATATAAATTTTATCATAAATTATTCTGATAGCAAGATGTGAAGAATAGTTCTCTCAAAATTCCATTAAAAAATCATTGTGTTTTATTCTAAATAAAATATAATTTTTATTTTAGTTTTGTTTAATATCATATTTCTAATATTAAATAATATAATCATTAATTATGTACCATATTTTAATCACGTTTATTATAAATATTGGGTCTTATCATGTGTATACATAATTTAAAATATACAGTATCCACTCAGTGAAATCGATCTTTATTCATGAACTGCGTTGTCATAGTTGTGGAATGTAATGAAAACACGCGATTCAAGTAAATCCAATTCGTTAAATAAGCAAATATATTTTATACACTTTTTGTAATTAATATAGTTTCAAATTCATAAACTAAAAAGTTTTTATTTGAATATAAAACAATTTAATGTATTACTCGTATATACGCTTTCTATAATCATATGTGTATATATCACATTTCTGTGTTAAAAATCGTAAAACATATTTAATACATCAGATACTATAGTTGTTATATAGTTACATATTACTATGTCCATTTAATAATATAATTCCAATTTTTACGATAAATGTACAACGAATATGAATTAATTATTTATTAATGTTTAGCCATTTAGTATCAAAATATATCCTTGTCAATTTCTTTAACTATAGAATTTTGAATAAAACAAAAAACCTTACCCTTATTATAAATTTTTTGAAGCCGTTCCACGTAATAATGTAATCCACTACTTTTATGAATTTAGACAAACTAATAATGGAATGAGAGTTATAATATATAAAATGTTCATACAATAATCCATTAAATTAATTTTTACACCCTTTTATACGAAAATATGTTTCAAGTTGCCATAATTCAGTGTTCAATATTTACGCATACATAATATTATGTAGAGGTTATCTTATAATATAATCCATAAAATTATTTTAAATTCAAAAAAATGAAACGTTTTAAATATAGTTAATTACTAAATATTGTTTTTTTTTATTTCATAAACTGAATAATCACATGTATTAATTTTATTAAATTTCTCAATCAGATTATTCAGTTTTATAAAAATAATGATTTTTCCATAAGTATTAAATGAGAATTATAAAAACTACATATGTATAAATTACTTTAAATGATATTATAAAAGTCAGAGCGGTATATTATTATTCATAATAGTTGTACTTCCAATCATTATTTCATCTTAATTAAGCTTTTACTTTCAAACTTAATTGAAATTAATGGAAATAAAACTCAGGTGGTACGCTATTTCCTTTACCCCTAAAGGCCAAATCGATCGTATGCATGTCATTAGTCTCTGTCACGTAATCTGTTTAAAAAAAATCTGCATAGTCAGTCCAGTCGTATTTTATTTCATTTGTTTTTAGTTGAAATTTGTTTTTAATTAATATAAATAAAGAATATAATAGAAAAGTATACATACATCACAGTGCGTGTAATTTTAAATGTTACATACATATAATAATTAATATAACAAAATAAAAAATTGAAAAAATATAATTATGTGACAGATATTATACATAGCTGTCGAAACTTTTAACGTTAATAGCTGTGTAAATTGTTATAAATGAACTCTTTCTAAAGTAAAAAAAAAAATAAATAAAGGTAGGGTTGAAAGTGAGGAGTAAACATTATTAACGAGCTAAGGGAGTATGGCTATTATTATTAAGACGTTTATAGGAGATTGCTCAATCCATCATGATGGTAACGTGTAGAAAAGTGAAACTGCTCGTTTGTGAAGGAAACGCTTTGTAATAATATTCAGGAGAAAAAAATCAAGAAATAAATATTTTTTAGCAGTGATTATATAAAAAGTAAAAGAATTATGTACATTGAGGATTTTTGGCAGTAAAAAAAGGCGTTATTAAAATTTTAAATTTTAAATAAATTAAAAAGTTGAACAAAAAGACTGTCCCCTGCATACATTGTATTTCAATGATTTCGAGATTTATATTCCTAGGGGCAATTTACAATTACAGTGGTTTACCAAATTAATGATATTTTCCTGGTTGGACTGGGTTGGTGGTGATGGGGCGATTTTTTCTCGTACTGACGTTTCCGTTGTGCTTTTAATGGCCCTTTACGAACCCCTGTTTCTAATTGCACCGCCGGCTGTTCCACCATGCACATTGCATTCCCTACCACTACTATCTCGCAAAGGTTTTAATATTACCAATACACATTTGAAATAACAATCATAAAGGGAAAAGAGAAAAAACGACTATATATATATTGGGTAATCGTGACCGCGTCATTTGTTTTAAAAATTATTATCGTTTAATATCCTTCTATTGTTTTCGATATTCTCTATAAATTCTGTAAATCAATTACATTTTGCGATAACTGACAAGTTTAATTTTCAACCAATGGATCAACAAAACACGCATAATGCGTGTATACTATAATGATCGTACATAGTAGATAAATGCATTTTTTAATACGTACTTAAATTAAAAATGATATTTGAATTGGGCAACCTTATGGGTCATTAAAATTATCTACAATACATTTTATTTAAATAGTTATACTACAATTATTTTTATTACACTCATAAAGAATAAGTTGTTTTTTTCGTTTTAAGTTATTATTAATTTTATTTTATATACTTTTTAAATTAGATTTATCATAACTCCGTTATATATTATGGGCGTGTTTAACATAAGCATACAACTTTTTGCGACATAAGTAATTTGATAATAATTACTCATTAGGTAATTATTAATAATACGTTTCTAATAATATACTTTCGTTTTCTAATATTGAATTGATAAATTACAATGTAAAAATGACTCCTCTGATATTTGATATGCATTCTTGTATTACAAAAACATTTTAAACAAGAAATAATAATAATAACATTAAAAAAAAAAAAACATCACAAGCTAACACTCGTGTTTTTATTTTTGTTTTGAGGGAGTATATATAAGAATCAATACATAAATTATGCACAAGCACCAGTAGTTAAACGATAATCATAAAAAATTGCCACCCTCTGGTGACAACAACAACAATACTAGGACGATATTTCACTCAGGAGGGATGATCGAGAGCACATTAAAACTGTCCTGCAGGACGTCACGCTGTTTCTTTTATCCTATACGCCCCTTGGACACTGCACAAACGCACAAGAGCTGCTTCAGACTTACGTCAGCAAAATTGAATTGTAGGATCAAAAGCACAGAATTTGATTTAGTCTATCTCTACACAAAAATGAGAAAAAGTTGTAATAACTGTCCATTCCATTAATTATATAATTAAATATTTACCAGTTATTTTCAAAAACGATTATTATTTGTAATAAATAATGATTTTAATAATATTATTAAATTGACTACACACTTTTGTCAAATACAATTATACTACTACATAGATATAAAACTAATTTTTGTTTAAAAATTCATAAATTATTTAAAATACAAATAAAGACGATTTAAATACGGGTCAGATAACAATAAATAATTATTTTTATAGAACAATTAATAAATATATCATGAAAAAAAAAGACATAATAACATGAAAAAAATATATTTTTCTCTGGTTTTTGTTTGTTTATATATTAATATATAGAAAAATATTAAAAACCAAAAAAGAATTTCATAAGCCGAGGGTGGTATTTTTTTATACTCATACACGCGCTTGAACCCCATAAAAATATAATACACCATACATTAATATGCGTCAAAATGCATTAAATATGCAAAATAACTTATACATACATGGCTTAGCAACATTATGAAACGAATTTGTATTGAGCCATAAAAAACTAAAGGGGAGGTTTCAATATTATCAGTAACAAACGTAATAATTTTCATAAAGCTTCAATTATTATATGAATAGTGTTCAAATATCAAGATTATAATCTGCATATAGTAGGTATACTTTTTATAAATACTATGTTACTTTATTATTTTCAAATTCATCATGTCTATTTATAGTGTTTATATCATAAATGTAATGATAAGTATTTTAGATATATTTTATTTATTTTTTCACAGTAGTTTTTAATTATACGCACAATTTAAACTTTAGGCATATGATAATAAATATTTTTTACAAATAAAACATTTTGTATTAGTCGGACGATTGCGAATTTATTATAATAATTTAACTTAAATACTTGTTACTAGCATAGTTTA